ATTTTTTTACAAATTCAGTAGTGCCCTTGCCATTTTGTACTCATCAAACTATTGACCCACCCCTAACAACTATTCGCTGAGCAAACTGAGCATATATTATGGGCCTCCTGTTAATTTATTAACAAAAGGGGTTACAAAACATGTTCAAAAACGCACTTGTAATGTGAAATTGTAAACACTGTAACCTTGTTGATTATTGATGAATGTATAAATGAAGTTATGTTATCTTGACCAGGGTTATGCAATTAGTTTATCCAAAATGCTGTCAAACTTAAATAAAAATGTCCGCCAAGAGGCACACAAACCCTTTGTTTGCTTGTCAAAGTTACGTGTTTTGGATAGGCTAATAGGGCATGTCCATGCGACGTCACAAATGAGTTTGACAGTCGCCCTGAGGTAAAACATATCATTTATTTACATTTGTGTAGATTAGGCCAGTTATGTTTTATGTGGTTTTCACAGCTTTTTTAAAAGTTTTTGTGTTATTTTGTACTAAAAAAGGTAGAGTAAAGTGTTTGTGTTCCAGTCTATGTGGTCTTATATTTAAAAGTTTGCTAGGTTTTCCTATAATGGATTAATTTTAGGTTTTTTCGAACAAATATCAGAACCAAGTGTCACAGGAAAAAATATATATATAAGTATAGTTATTCTATTTTCAATCTATTTTTCTGTCAGATCTTCTCTTTTAAGAACATTAATCAATTTTTCTCTTCTTTTTTGAGCTAACAAATCAAACTTCCCATTGTTATTTAAAATTGATGGAAACCTATGGAAGGATATTGTATCTCTTGCGGTATACTGCCACAATTAACAACTAAACAAACTCTAGGCATGTCCAAGAAACTTCTGGATCACACAAAAGGTATTTATTTAAAAAAATCTAACTAAAAACTTAAAAAACACTGTAAATTATATCTTTGTTTTACCTCAAGGCTACTGTCAATAGCGTCAAACTGTCAAATCGTGTACTTGCCCTATGGAGAAATTGACTCAATTTTGTTTTATTGATGATTTCATTAGGCGATGAAAAATAAGACAACCCGTGTTTTTCCTTTTTCTTGTTAGACTAAAATTGACGGAAATACGCTTTGAAATGTGCATATAATTTCTGTTGAGACTGACCTGGGTGTTGAGACAATGGTTAGTTGTTATCTTTAAGTTCTCTATTAATTTCAATGTCCTCGAGGAAGTGAATTCTTTTGAAATTTTTGGAAGAAACTGCTCGTATAAGCTTCGAGTTGGACTGTGGATCAAAGTTATTTTTAGAGGTGCGGATGTACTCACCAAATGCTGAGTTGGTTCTAGACATGTGTTCGTTAATGCGAATTTCCAAAGCTCTGCAAGTCCCGCCTATATAAGAGCAATTGCACGAACCACAAGAAAACTTGTAAATTCCACTTTTTGTGAGTGGGTCTATCTTATCTTTCGGACTAATCAGCTGAGAAAGCAGTTGGTTTGTGTCTTTGAACGATTTTTTCACATTATTTACATGTTGGCGGCCATAATTATTGACCTTTTTATTCAAAACAGGATCAACATGGGGTAAGGAAACGAGTTAGAAGTTGCCAGTGTGCTATGCAGGGAAAAGTTCTTTCTTAGGTTTGTCATGTTTGTTTTTGTTAATTTAAGTGTATATGTTTGTTACGGGATGATTTTTCCTGGGCCAAAATAAAAGGAAATAAGCGTATTCGCCTCATTGAATAGCATACCTTCGTCAAGTCACTATTTTCTTTCCAATAGTTGTGGCCACACTTTTCTTCAAACTTTTCATTCTTCCCAGAATCATCGAGTTAGAGGTGGAATAATGGGATTGATTTCCTTTTAGTAGGGTTAAAATAAATAGTCAATTAATTTATTAATAATTAAAATCACAATATTTACATTAGAACAGCTGATTGTCTATTTGGTATTGGTACTAACTTAATTTAAATAAGTCCCATACCCCAACTACCATCAAAATTCCCCAGAATCTTTCACCTTGGAGTTTTGACACAACCTTTTTAAAGGACATTGAAGGGACAAGCAGAGGTCATTCAGGTCGAGGACTTTCCACGATTAAGTGATCGGGAAAATTCCTCAGGCACATTTTGCCGATTTCTGAGTTGTTCAGTTTTCGCTCATAGATCTAGGGTGGCTAATCCGTTATTTTAGCCGAAAAAGAGCAACGTGATCAATTGTGTGTTCCTAAAGACCAAAGTATTTTGGTAAGTGGTTTTTGTTATAAGTCTTCTCTGTGTTTCTCTATTGCCTATGTAAAAGCATAGTTTTTTTGTACGGTTAAATTCCGAATATTGAACATACCTACCTATCGCTCCACGCCCACTCTCATAAAGTCCATTTGTTTCAGGCCTTTAGATGTCACCTTTTATTCGCCACTACTCACAACTTGAGTAGAGAGTTAACCGCTAAGCTTACTGTATATTTCAAGTCGTACCTCCTATTTTCAGCCTCCTCTAGACAATTGTAAGCTATAGTGACTCCTAGTTACTGAACTTCAGTGACCAGGGCCAATTGCTTCTTGTTGCGGCCCTGATCCAGTCCCAGGCCATCGGAAACACTGGAAGATATCAGTCCAATCCTTCAGTTTCTTCTCAAGGGATTAGGGAATACTCAGGTTTGATAAGTGTGTTGTATTGTCTTAATATCTAGAGCCTATCAAACCTTACCAACCCTTGGTTGGAGTAAATCACCACAACGACGCAGTTCTACTACAATATCAAATTACCCTTCAGATTATGTCTTGTTATTTCAATTTTAATTAATTATTTATATTACCTTTATTATTTGAAACTTGCCATTTACGAAGGTACTGATTTAGTAAGCTTGTCTATTAATTTATATTTCAGGTATTATTGCTGCTATAAGTGTTATACAATACTCTTTATTTCTTTATTTAGGGACTCAAGTTGAGTGAAATTATTATAAATACTATTTTTAGAACGTAAGGTTAGGTACTCCTAGTCGATTTATTTTGTTCTTGTTCTGGTTCCAGTGTTAATAATTTTCAGTGTTCCTGGGCGTTCGGAAAACCCACTTCGAACCTACTCTAGAGTCAAACCTGTTCTGGTTCAAATTAAAAACCCGTACCTGATTGTAGCAAAGCGTTTCACTTCTGTCCTTTCTTCTTGTTTACTTTTATATTTCAGGTTGTGCTGCTATAGGTTCGTAGAAGTTTTCTGCTTTCGTTATATCGGTTGACTTCGTGTACTGCAGGGAAAAGCAGGTGGAGCTCTATATTTAATTATTTAGGCCGTGGTCCGAATATAACCATAGTTGTGGTTTAGCGGTCCGAAAGTAATCAAACTATTCTGGTTCTCGGAAAAGGGGTTACTTTTGGACCTCGGTTTCCTGAAATCTGGCTAACCAAATGTCAAAATAGTTACTGAACATCGGATGTCGGTTCTGTTGATTTTATCTGTAATTACTGTCAATTATTTTTTATTTCATATCCGCGTTCCCCAAGTAACCGGAATTTTCAGTAACCATCTGTCAACCGATGCGGTTATTTTGGTTAATGCTTGGTTATATTCGGACCACAGCCTTAATTGATCCACACCCCTCTCCGCATTGGAAGCTAGTCGGCAACCCTTCACACGAAGTCCCGTTTCTAGATTTTAGCCACCGACCAACCCTCTCTTTCTATATTTTTTGTCTTAGTGACCCATTCACTGTCTCACTTCCTCAAAATTTATTAATTACTTTTCAATCGGTTTGACGGGTAACAGTATTTAGGATCATAATCATTATTGTAAGCCAATAGTTTCCAAATGTTTACTTCCCTATGATCATCTTTGGACGATAGAGGGAGGTTTAGTAGTCGGTAAGTTTAGGACCAGCCTTTTTAATAGAAACAGGCAAACTTAATTTTGCAATAAATTGACAATAAGAAAACGACTCACAATAAAGATTAGAAATGGGTGTTGGTAGGGTCTCACCTCTGTGTCCTGGACTCTGGCTTACTTGATTCTATCAAAAATGAGCTTCTGGATGGTATTATTGAGCGAAAGCACATCCAATAACCGAAATCAGTGAGAATGATTGTTCTCGGCTTGTTACAAAAAACGAGAATTTAAACTAACACCGTGACGCTCGTCAACTTGAGCTGTACTTTTTAACTCTGTTATAGGTTCGAGTTCCTCCATATCTTCATCGTGAGGTATCGCGCGCAGAACCCCAAAAAAAGATATATGTTTACGTGTACAGACCCAACACTCCATTCTCGACTCTTTGACGGAGTCCTATTGGTACCATAAATAATAATTACCCAATTTTAAACACTGTGTATGTTACAATAATTGAAGGCTTTCATTGTGTGTTGGTGCGAATGATCGGAAGTGTTCCAGATCGGATGGTCGCTTTGTGTTGGTTTTCTATAGATGGAAAATGTGAAATCCTCTGGTGAAACTTTAATTGTGATGTCAAGAAAGTTGATCTGTCTGTCTTTCTCAGTTTTCATCGTGAATGAGATGTTGGGGTGTATGTTATGTTATAAATTAACAACATACATTGCTCGCTTGCAGGTAGTACTGAGGATGTCGAAAGCCGAAAGCGCTCTACTGCGCTGAGTTTTATTTAATTTAATTTTGCATGAAGGAAAAATTGTTCCCTTCCTAACGGAGAAGTTGGTTTAGTGCTATTACACCACATACAATATTTTTTCTGTTTGACATTAGGTATACAATCGATATTATTCGTTGTGTTACCGTTTGGGCTTACCCAAGTGTCCAAGTTCATTTCTGTTGCGTTTTCTTTTTGAAAAATGTATTCATTGCGTATAAGTTGTTTTGTACCAAAAAATCAACAAGCCATTAAGTCTCGTTCCTTTTTCCTAATCCATGACAGCCCAAAACTCTCTCGAAATTATCCTCTTGGCCCAGTTTTGCGTTAAAATCACGTCTTATCAGAAGGATTAAAAGCGTTTTTTTCATTTAAAGAAATTATAATGCATATTTTTAATAAAATTATTGCAATAGGTACTCAAATAAATTAATGAAATGAAAATGGAGCGAAATATCGATAAAATAAAACGCCTAATAATATCATTCAAGTAAAGATGAGAATTTCAATTGTACAAGACATACCTACTCGAGCTCAACTCCATATTATACTGACCAATAAATTATACTATAACATTGACGGGACAAAACGGAAGTCTATCACCAGTCTAGAATCCAGATTTCCAGACAATTTATCTATCGGGAGGGGTTCTGGCATCCAATTGACATAATTGGCCAAGCAATCATTAAACACTAACACGTTCTGGAGCTGCAGAGGAAATTGTTTCGGGAATGCATTATCACGTTTTAGTAATGGAAAGTGTCAGATACTACGGGAAACTAGATGAGATTCGGGTCATGCGATGCGGTAACGGTAACTGATTGGGAAATTATTTTATCAGCTCGATTGAACTTAGTTTTCCCATGATTGTGCATAGGTTCTTATAAATGTCTAACTTAATTGATTATGTATTAAATGTCCTCAGAACTACTTATTTTAATTAATCTTAGTTTGGCATTTAGTTAAGCTCTACCAGCAATTTTAGATACCCTACATTGTTTGTATCGATTTTCTGCTTTAACGGTTATTACCCTAAATCATATTCTGCTGAACAGCTATGGGGATCCCGAACGATGTTAATTAATCTCGAGCAATGATTTGTGTGCTGTACGCGATTTGGAAATAAGAATTTCAATGAATTAGTGAAAGTATCTAATAAATTATGTATAGATATAGGTACCTTTATTAGGTTTCACTTGACTCGGAGTGGTTTATATAATAGCTTTTTTTCTAAAATGTCATTACTTCAATTCAATCCGGCTCAGAGGATCAAATGATGCTGGCATTCATTTGATTAAAACTTTTTGGAAAATGGACTGTATGACTTGTTGAACAACATGATATAATTATGATGCGAAAATCAATGAAAGACTAAAAGTAAAATTGGTTCACCTAATCTTTCCTTTTGGGAATGGGGTATGAACAGCTGTCACTAATTCTCCCGATTATTCAAAATGAAGTGATCGTCATATTTATATTTGACGCAAGATGTAATAAAAAATGAAGTCCAGAATTAAACTTTGATGTATGATGTCTCAAAACTCCGAAGATATTACAGTATCAGAAGTATCAGGAGTACAACCGTATGATGTGAATATTTTAATGAAAATTCTACTATTGGTCTATGAACAGCAAAAACATGTTATAAACAACACAGATAAAAAGTAAATTAAAAAACCAAAGAAATTATGTGCTGTTTTCTGTGCTGGCATTTTGATTCTTGGATTCAGAGCATGCATCAGAGCCTTGTTGAATTTACTAACATTTTCCTACCCTGACGAGCGAATATCCTAGCAAACAAATTGAAATAAACAACTATAGCTGAGTAGCTTCCCGTATAGGACCTCAGTACCTGCTGGGAAACTGGCTTACTAACCAAAAACCCTTCAGTATTGAATATAGGTAGTGTTGATTGAATATAATGTGTGGAATTAAAATTTTAGCACAAGGACAAAGACGGTACCTAATTTAAACTATCATTGACTTAAATTATTGAATTAATGACTCACAATTATCATTAAAATGACACTGTATGTTTCCATTTTTGAGGAATGTTAGATCGAGGGTTTCTCTGACGTTCTCTTTCCCCTCGAGAATTCCAGGTCGAGAACGGAACGATCTACTTTCTTTTACATATCAGCTTCCCTTAAATTTCTCAAATATTTGCTATGTCGGGCGCATGTCCAGTAAGTAAAATTGAGTAAGTTTCCACAACGTAGGTCCTATTTGTTTTTCATTTCGTTTTTCAGAAGATTTGTTATTTAAAAGGTAATAACATTTCACGCCGGTCAATATTACTGAACGGGCCCGGATATGTTATACTACACACTCTTAACTTTTTAAAGGACTTGAACTACCGTGTAGATATCAAATTTATATTTTATCTGAAAACAATCTTCAATCAAATCCAAGCAAAAAATAAATTTTCAGCGAATAGGTTATTATTCCAGGAGGACTCTGAATCGGCCAGTTATTCGCTTTGCCGCCGTCGGTCGTTCTTTTACTGTCAAAAGACAGTTTCTGAGAAAATTCGCAAGCAATTCCCAGTTGTGCCGGAAAAGTTCGATTGCCCGGAGGAATGGCGACGATGCAAGGACGGTTCGTTCAATTTTTTTTTTCTTTTTGATGAAAACTTTTATTGGCAGCCTTTGTGTCCCCGGTATGCTAATAAAAGTTCGGCTTCTGCTGTTGTTATGTATGACGTATGTCGATTGGTGCGGCGTGAAGAATGATTGCCACCGACGAACGGCAGTAAATTTTATACATTATTTTTTTTATTGTTTTTTTTATGTGAAAAATCTTCAAGGGTGCTTTCGCCTGTCTTTCTTATAAAAAAGTGTGTCCAATAATATCGGGACAGAATAGGAAAATACCTTCGTTTTCATTTTAACTGCTTCATAAAATAGACAATTCACTGGGTTGAATATTGTGACAAGGTAAGCGACTCTCAAAAAAAAAGTTACATGTTTCAGCCTTCTCACCAGTGTCGAACAATTTGTAGCAATTAAGCTACTTTGTCATTTTATTATTATTTTAAGCATGTAAATGTTTTATATTTTAGGTGTTTTAAATTGTATTCACCGTTATTGCTGTATATACTAATTATTGTAATGCATTTAAGGCAAGAATACTTATTTCCATTCAAGTGGCACCATACCATCTCTATTTAATGATTTTCGCCCAGCTCTATATCCTTTCGATTAATACCGATCCTTCCGGTTGTTGAAGACACCTTTTTCGACTAGCTTCAGGCTGCACTTTTTTGAATTGCCTCGACCTTGCTTTAGGACGAGACACGCTTTCTTGGCGGCTTGTTTAAGCGTCGGTGACGTGAGCGAGCCCTTTTGTTTTTTGGCCAACGTGCTAAGTTCTCTTAAAAAGTCTCTTGAAGGGGTAAATCCTTCAAATTTCTTTCTCTGTGGTGCGGAATGCCATTTATGGCTAATTAAAGAAATAGTTTATTCGTCCACTCGGCTACTTCTTTGTGATTTTATTGGAACATGCCAGGTATGTGAGAAATCCTTTTTTATCTTGAACATCCTGTATGCAACACAAAGCTTCGATAACTCAGATGGGGTTTTATATCCAAATGAAACACCAATTAGAATAAACCATAATTGTGGACTGTATTCAACAAAAGTTACATGCAAAAAACCGTTTGCATTTACAATCGAAATTCACGTTAGACAAAATACTAAAAACTTTAAAACTGCTTGTGCAATTGGCATTATAACAACTACTAATTCGCGCACTGCAACTTCAAAACTGTTTTTTGTTAATTAATTGGAAATTACCACACATGGTTTATTTCCTAGTCAAACATATGACAAAGAAAATTATTGATCTGTGATGGCCGAACGCATGACAATAACACAATGACCTATTTTCGACTAACTACTCTCGCACCGACGCGACGGGGTGTAAAGTCCGACAAATACCATTTTAAAGTCACGTGATATTGGTGGCAAAAAACGTATGTTCATTGATTATATCGTTGATATCACCTACAAAAAGCTACTGGTGGTTAATTACTATTAAATTTTAGGATATGTTCCCACTAGCATTTTACAAACGCGTTTCTGAAGTAGTATTGACCAATCAGATGGGAATTTTAATACTTGAAATTGTTGCGAGACTCACTTTTGTCACATCTGCTGTCCGTTGTAATACATTCTCAACTTGAATTGGGTACCCGTTTTCTATTTGATTCTTTTAGAGTTGGAAAAAGGTTAATATAGTCAAAATTATTAGCTGTGTTTGTTCGTTGTATCATTTTCGAAAATAACTTTGACAAACTAATTGTTGACAGTGACAGATTCTATTTCAGGTAAGAATATTATGAACAATAATTAGACACCAATTTTTTTGTCAATTTTACTATCACCGCTGTTTAAGATGTATTCAAGAAGGATAGAGAAAAATCACGTGACTTTAAAATGGTATTTGTTGGACTTTACTACAGGTGCCTGCAGCAAAGCTGTGAGGGAGAGAGAGGGTTGCAATAACGGTTTGTTTGTGGAGTTACAGTGACTTGACTGAACCTGTTTGTGTTCTAAAAATAGAATTCTTTCAATGCGACCAAAATTAGAGTATCTATTGAGCCTGAATTATTCTCGGAAGACTCATTTAAATACTATCTTGTACACCTGGCGACATCTATGATTCCTCTTACTAGTTTCCTGACCTAATACCGAAAATTATGTTATTAAAAGGTGGTTTCGATTTGCTCACTCCGGCACTCCGAGTAACTCCATTCACACTCCAGCCGAATCGAACTAAGGTTCCTTATAAGAAAAACCCGTAGCACTGTCATTTTTATAATTTCGACAGGCTTGACAGAGGAAGAAAGACACAACCACAGTTTGAGACTTTTGACTTTTTTTTATAGTTAGACTGAAAAGGTCGTCTCTGGAAAATCCAAAAACTTTGGTTTTCATTCTTGGCCATCGAGCCCAAAATTATATAAATTTAACTGGCCAGAGTAGTGAGTGATTATGTCAGCTGGAACGTTTCCTGAAAAATCAATAGATTGTTGATTTTTGTGTAAATTTTTGAAAGTGAGGTTAATTATCGGCCGTTCAGGCAATTTGGGAGAGTATTGAAAATCCACGCCTACACTTCTGGGTGAAAATTTGGCAAGTTTGAGACCATGCGGTACTGCATTTCCGAAGCAAGTCTGGGCCCCCTCTACCAGGAAAGTTGTGTCTTGTAAGAGATTGATCCCCGACCATTGGATGATTGCCTTCCGTCAGTTTGGTGCTTCTGGATCTCAAATTTATGAAAATTTTCAAGGACTTGTATAATTACTTACCTATGGGTCCCGTAACTGTGCCTTATTAATTACCGTTACCTATTATTATCTTTTTTCTACCGCTCCCTATCGATTAGCTTTATTAGCTAATAATTATCTTTATAAATATTAATAACTGTTAATTATTATTATCTTTGTCTTTATCGCTCACTATCGATTAGCTTAATTAGCTAATTAAT